AATGAGGGCTGGCCAATGCAAAGGTATAGTGATGGGAAATTGAGTGCCAGGGATGAGAAGCAGTAAGAAGGCCAGTTGAGTATGGAGAAGTGAGTGGCACATTAAAAAAGAAAGCTAGTTGGTATAGCGGAAAGAACACTGGACCTGGAGTCAGAAAGACCTGAGTTCAAATCCTGCCTCAGACCCTTACTGAATATGTGACCTTGGACAAATCACTCAGTCTCACTTTCCTCATCCGTAAAACAGGGATGATAATAACACTTATTTTTCAGGGTTGTTGTGAGCATCAAATGACATGACATATGTAAAGTTCTGTGCAAACCTTACAGAAGCTATGTAAATGTTAGTTATTTATTAAAAAGATTGGAGAGGTAAGAAAGTGCTAGGTTTGCAAGAGCTTTAAATACTAGAGTTTCTATTTGATCCTGGACTCCATAGGGAGCCATTGAAGTTTATTGAATGTGTATGTGTGAGGCCATACTTGTGCTTTTAGAAAGATCCCTTTGGCAGCCAAGTAGAGGATGGCCTGGAGTGGGAGGAGACTTGAAGGATGAGGACTATTTACGGGGATGTTGCAATGGTCTGGGCAAGAGGTGATAAAGGCATGAAGTAGGAATGTGTGGAGAGAAGAGAGTAGACAAAGAAATAAGATGGTCAGCTGATTGGTTTTATGAGATGATGAAAGCGAGAGTCATGGATGAGACCAACTTTCTGACTCTGGGTGAATGGAAGGGTAGTAAGACCCTCGTCAGTTATTGTGAAGTATGGAAGAGGAGTGAGTTTGGGAAGAAGATAAGAAATTGGTTTGCACAGGTTGACTTTGAGATATCTGGTGGGAAGTTGGTGATGTGGGGCTGAAGCTTGGGAGAGAGACTAGGGCTGGATATATAGAACTAGGAATCATCTATAGAGAAGTGATCACTGAACCCATGGAAGCCAATGAAGTAACCAAAAGCATAGAGAGTAATGAGAAGAGGACATAGGACGGGGCCTTGGGGGGCACCCACACTTAGAGGGTTTGACATGGATGATTCAGCAAAGGAGATTGAGAAAGTGCAGTCCAGTGAGAAGAAAATATGCAGGAAGAAAGAATGGTCAACTCAGATTCTACGGAAAGGTCTAGAGGGATGAAGGACAGGAGAAGGCCTTTAGATTTGGAAGTTAAGAGACATGAGAGACTTTGGAGAGAACAGTTTCAGGTGGATGATGAAGCGGAAAGCCAAAATGCAGAGAGTTTAGAGGAGAATGAGAGAAGAGGAAATGGAGCATTAAGTACACACAACTTCTTCAAGCAGTTTATTTTTTTTATTATTATTATTTTTTTTGTTGGGTAATAGGGTTAAGTGACTTGCCCGGGGTCACACAGCTAGTAAGTGCTATGTGTCTGAGGCCAGATTTGAACTCAGGTCCTCCTCAGTCCGGGGCTGGCGCTCTATCCATTGCATCATCTAGCTGTCCTTCTTCAAGCAGTTTAGCAGATCAAAGATCAAATGAATTTTTTTTCCCTTCATTAGGTTGTGAGCTCCTTGAAAACAGGGACTGTCTTTTCTTGGTGTTACTAGTGCTTAGCATGGTTCCCCCCCCACTTGGGAGATGCTTGATAAATGCTCATTGACTGACTTGTTGACTAGCTGAGAAGGGGAGGGGAGATATAGAACAGTGTCTAGTGGGGATGATAATGTCTAGTGAGAGTGTTTTTGTTAAGGATGTGGATGGCCTGAGTTATTTTTTTAAGGTGTTCTTTTCCTCAGTATTTTTTATGTCTCCTTAACCAAGTTGTTGACTCATTTTCACAGAGGTAAATTATGTATTTATAGGCAGCAAGGAAGGAACCAATAGATAAAGAGAAATTGAGGATTAGATAATGAGAGAGTGAGGGCTACATTGGGGACAATTTGATAAGGAAGATGGGGTGGGATCAAGGGTGTATGTAAAGTCACTGACCTTAAAGAGAAGAAGGGCCACTTGTGTATCAAAGACTAAAGCAGGAAATAAGGGGGATGTGAGAGGAAGAGGGGAGTAGAGGTAGCTGAGAACAAAGGGCTCCAGTATTCTTAGTGAAGTATGAGGCAAGGTTTTCAGCCACATGGAGAGGGTGGGGATAGCGAGTGGTTTGGGAGACTTGAGAAAAAAAGACAAGATTCATAACAATTCCTGTGGTGAGTGGGACAGACAATCAAATTAGGACTAAAAGGATTGCCTTGCAGCAGTGAGGACTCAGCTGGCATTAGATAAAATAATAGCGGATTGAGTGGATCGAGTTAGCATGGTTGGATGACTTCCTCCAATTCAACAGCATGTGAGTAGGAATGAAGGCCACAGAGAGTGGGAAGTGTTCAGGGATGAGATTTGGCAAAGTGTGGAGATGGTAGGGCAAGGATGTAAAGGATTCAGTCATAATAATAAATTAGAACAGCACCCTGAGAGTGGAGGATCAAATGCTTGTAAAGTGCATTTCAAATCTAAAGTTCTCTATAGATGCCATTTGCTCTTGATCTTTTTGTTATTATCACTCCCACTCAAGACAGCTCATTCCCCTTTTGAGTAGGTCTCTGGGGGCAAGAATGACATGTCTAATTCTTTACGTCTTGCCCTTTAAATATTGCAATTAGTTATCATGTTGCATCTAAGTCTTTCTTCACCTGGCTAAACATTGCTCATTTCTTCAGCTTCTCTTCATGTGACAAGACCTCAAGGCCTTTCTCTATCCTGGGTGCCACCTCCTCTTTGGTTTACCAATGTCCTTTCTTAATCGTGAGGTCTAGAACACACTACTTCCGACGTGGGCTGATCAGGACATAGAGCTCA